TATAACCGAATATATATAAGCTAATCACTCCACCAACCCTGTTATATCTAGTGTGTCTCTTAATTAGCAAGTATTGATAATATTATTGTAAATATCATTATAGTGTTTGAATCTTACATTATTTCACTTAACTACACATTACCTTTATACACTAGGCTTAAATGAACACATCTGAAATTCCAGCTCTGATAACTTTAAATAATTCAAATTTTTTCATAACATGGGACCGCCCCTGTTATGTGCATCACTATTCATGGCTTCGGGGTATCGGCCTTACAAGTCCTGCTTTTATTGCTCACAACACAGCTTTGTATCTAACCGCAAAGTTATGGGACAGTAATAGCAGGGAAGAGTGGGCGTGTGCACACAGAAACATTCCTTCATAAATAAGTGACAGCCAGAAGGATGCCTTGCTGGTTGTAAGACCTGGTGATCACAAGCAAATGTTTTATGTTGTCTTTCAGATGAGGGGCCCATCATTTACTCAACACTGACAGCTGGGGAAAAAAGAGAATTACATTCTTGAGTCATTGAAGCTTGGAAGAATTCACTTACAGATCCCCTCTGATGCTCTAAAAGAAGAAGCCTTCTTCTGAGCCTGTAAAGCTGAGAGTAAAAAGTGCAGCGGGGCACGTTGTTTGGACCACAGGGTGTAATTGTCAGTTTGGAGGAGTAGCTTTGATTATGGGTTTGGTTCAGGAAAGTCTGACCTGTTGGTTGGTGGGGATGATGTACGTGTCATTGTCAGGACTGAGGAATTTTGGCACATAAACACACACACTACTGCAACTTATTTATTTATTTTAAAGCTTTTTTATTATTAGATGAATAAACACATAATGTTTTAGATTGATTTGTGTCAAATTATATATATATATATTTTTTTCAGAATGAATGCTATTCTTTTAAAAGAACTAAACATAAAAATGTGTTAATGCAGTGTGAAGTCTTCAAGTCAAGTCTTATCAGGTGAACGGAATGACATCAGATGTGAGTTTTATTTAAAGAACATGACCAGTATTATATCCACCCCCCCCCCCCAACAAACCTTATGTTAAATGACCTAGTATATATATTTTTTTTTTTTTTTTTT